ATTTGAATCTGGTAAAGGTCCTACCAAATCCAGATGAACATGGTCGAAACGAGCATCGGGAGTTTTAAACGAGCCTAAGGGACATTTATTGTGTCTGATAACCTTAGATTTTTGGCAGCTTACACAGGAGCGTGCCCACTCCCTCACGTCTTTATTCATGCCAGGCCAGCAAAATCGTTCTGCTATAAGCTTGATGGTTGCACGAACACCTGGATGAGAAAGTTTGTGCAATGTGTTGAAGACATTGCGTCGATAATGTTTCGGCACGATTGGGCGATCCCTACCTGTAGATGTGTCACAAAGTAAGGTTTCCTTACCTGTTCCCATCTGTTTGATGCGTAGTTTAAGTGTTGTGGACGATAACTCGTGCTGAAGATCACTGTCTTCTTTTTGAAGCTCGGCGAGTTTAAGAAGGTCGATTCCTTGGAAACTGTTCAAGGAAGTTATACGAGATAAGGCGTCTGCAACTACATTGTTTGCTCCAGAGATGTGTTGAATATCTGAAGTAAACTGCGAAATGTAGTCCAGTTGTCGAGACTCACGGGGAGAGTACTTGTCAGAAGGAGAGCTTAACGAGAAAGTGAGCGGTTTATGGTCCGTGAAAAGAGTGAATTCACGGCCTTCGATATAGTGTTGGAAATGCCGTACAGCACAATACATAGCTAGGAGTTCCCTACCGAATGTGCTGTACCTCGATTCGGTGTCTAGCAACCTTCTAGAGAAAAATGCCAAGGGTTGCCAGGAGTTGTTAACCCATTGTTGTAAGACTCCTCCGATTGCTGAGTCGGATGCGTCTACTGCGATGCTAATGGGTGCTCGGGTGTCCTGATGTGCGAGCATTGTTGCTTTAGCAATCAGTTCCTTAACTGTGGAGAATGCTTTTCGTGCGGTGTCGTCCAAATTAATGGATTTCGCATTTCCACGAAGTTGGTCGGTCAGAGGTTTCATAAGTGATGCGCATTTGGGTATGAAACGTCTATAGAAACTTACCAGGCCGTTGAACGTGCGTAATTGCTTGACGGTGGTCGGTTCTGGGTAATCCAGAATGGCCGCCACTTTGGTTCTAAGGGGTCGGATACCTTGAGCATCGATAGTGTGTCCCAGAAAGTCTAACGAGTCGGTTCCAAATTGGCATTTCTGAACGTTTACAGTTATGCCATGTTTTTGTAATCGTTCGAAAACAAGGTCCAGATGCTTGAGATGTGTTTCTCTGTCCGGACTTGCGATTAGACAGTCGTCAACATACGCGTGTACGAAGTTGAGACCTCGAAAAACGTCGTCTATGAATCTTTGGAATGTTTGAGCAGCATTCCTTAGACCGAAAGGCATTCGCAAAAATTCATAGAGTCCGAAGGGAGTTATGATAGCTGTTTTCGGTATGTCGTCAGTAGCCATAGGGATTTGGTTATACGCTTTAACCAAGTCGATTTTCGAAAAGACAGTTGTACCTTTCAAGGTAGCTGTCAAATCGTGAATGTGAGGCAACGGGTAACGATCGGGAATGGTTTTCGCGTTCAATCGCCGATAGTCACCAGTTGGACGCCAATCGTTGCTGTCCTTTTTAGGGACCATGTGCAACGGAGATGCATATGGGCTACTTGACGGTCGTATGATTCCTAAGTCCATCATGTGATCGAATTCGTTTTTCGCTAACCTTAGCTTTTCAGGAGCTAGTCGTCGTGCTTTAGAGAATACAGGTGGTCCTGTAGTCGTGATGTGATGTGTAACATTGCTGGTTACACACGGTAGTTTCGGTTGAGTTTGTTGTATCCCAGGGTACTTATCGAGTAGTGGTTGATAGAGTGGGTCTATCATATGTTTAACTGTGACTGGGGATACTCTACAACCAGTAAAAGAAGTTACGCAAACGGACAAATTAGTGTTTCCGTCTACTAGCCTCCGTTTGCGAGTGTCGATGATCAGATTGTGGTGTTGTAGAAGGTCCATACCAATGATTGGCATAGAAACATCTGCAACGACGAAAATCCAGTGGATGGGTTTGCGTAAACCCACGTTAAGGTAAACGTACCTTTTGCCATACGTAGCGATCGGTTTTCCGTTTGCCGCCTGTAAGTTTAGGGTCGATTCGTGAAGTCGGTCGTTAGGATTTGCTGGGAGAACGCTAACTTCTGCGCCAGTGTCGACGAGGTAGCGAACTCTCGTTGTCACATCTGTGACGAATAACAGACGGCTTTGTTCGCCGGCTACGGTTGCCGTTAACGCGTGCCGGCTTGGAAGTTTCCCGAATGTTTTTCGAATCAGTCGGTTTCGTGTTGGGAAAATTGCAGGGTTTTCTGCAATTTCTGGAAAACTTTCCATACTGGTTATGATACCAGCACCAGTCGGGGTTATCTGTCTCTCGTGGTCTAGAGACAGATCGCTTACGAGAAATGCTTCTACGTGGTGTGCGCGATCTCTTACGGTCGGTACGAAGACTAAGATAACGCGTGAGTGTGTGACATAAGTCGGTTATGTCATTCTGAGTCGTGTGAGGCTTTTCTTTGACTGAAAATACCTCGGTAGTAGAAGGTTTCGTAATTTCTAGAATGCGGTCGGCAGATGCAGCTAGTTCGTCTAAGGCGTTGTTCTGGAACGAGACCAGAACTGCTTGCACCTGTTGGGGAAGTTTTGACAAGAAGAGTTGTTTGAATAGACCTTCGTCGAAAGTTCTTGGGCCTATAACCTCTCTCATCCGTTGCAACATGTCCGTCGCAGAACCGTGTTGCAGGTCGATGTTGTTGAAGAGTTGATCTAACCTTTGTCGATCGGTTAGGTCTCCTCGTTTAAGAATCGAGCGTTTTAAGATTTCGTAAGGATCGGAAACATCACTAGTAAACATACTAGGTGTTACGTACCTGTTGAATTCGCGCGGTAGTGCCTTGACTACTGCGAGGAATTGTGCACGTGTGTCGATCACGCCGTGCTCGGAAAGTCGGCTTCTGCGTAGCAAAACCAGGCTTCGATGTTGTCGGGCCAGAAAGGCATCAGTTGAAACGAAGGTGGGGACAAGGTCTTAAGCTTGAGTACTTTAGGTGTCTGTTCAGTCATGATGAAATATGAAGTACGATAATGAACGAGGGGAAAATATATATATATATATCCAAGAAAAACACGAAAAAAAATCACAATGTTTAAAAAAAATAAAAAATAAGGCAATGATATATAAAAATCCCAAAAAGGAACAGACTCACAGTTGCAATAAGGTGTACCAGATCACGACGGTCTCACCAATGATGATGTCACAGGTATTCAGTGTTTGACAACGCTTCTACCAGTAACACCTTCTAATGTATTTCGTTCCCACCAAGAGAAATCAAAAGACAGAGTCGAGGAGATCGGAAGAGTATATTTGGCGATGACCAATATATCGGAATTCTCTGATCTAATCTGGCTAGCGATTGTGGTTGATGTTGAGCACGGCGTTACTACACGTGATCTGGTGCGGATGCCTGACCGAGCGCCTTCAGCTAGATGAGTCCACTAAAACATATGGTCAGCATCCAATGTCGAAAACTTAGTGCTATTTATTTTGGGGATTTATTTACCGCTACACCATTAAAGAACTCGATGTCTTTGGTCTGCTATATAAGCTTGACATAGGTAAATCCACGGGGCCCGATGAATTGAATTTTAGGCTACTGAATGAATTATCTAACTTCGTTGCGAACCCTTTAAGTATATGCTTTACGCTACCTGTAACGCAGGGTCGTTTACCAAAACACTGGAAGAACGCCATAGTAAATCTTGTCTTCAAAACAGGTACGAAACATAGACCTGAGAATTACCGCCCCGTTAGCCCGACCAGTGTGGTTGTTAAAATCTTAGAAAAGATTATACGGAAGGAGCCGTTAAAGTATCTCGATAAAAACCGGATCCTTTCGGAGAAGCAGCACGGCTTCAGAATAGGTTACTCTTGTCTCACTAACTTATTAGTGGCTCGTGAATGCTGGTGCGCTCTTAAGGACCAAAAGTTACCTGATTTCAGCAAAGCTTTTGACAAGGTTCCGCACAACCGGCTGTTATGTAAGTTAAGAAATTTCGGGATTGGAGGCAATTTATTGATGTGGATAAAAGACTTCCTAGTTGGGCGTCAACAAAGAGTGAGGGTGAACTCAAAGTTATCTAGCTGGGGAACTGTGCTTAGTGGAGTGCTCCAGAGTACAGATTTGGGGCCAGAGCAATTCCTCTTGTATGTAAATGACCTTCCTTGTCTCCTATCATCATCGGTCTTGCTATATGCTGACGATGTCAAGATATGGAGAGCGATACGATGTAAGAGTGATAGCTTAGAACTTCAAAATGACCTGAAGAAGTTATCTGAATGGTCTCAAACATGGCAGTTGCCGATAAATACTTCCAAGTGTGTTGTGATGCATATCGGTCATCAAGGCACAGATACATACACGATGAATAACACTGAGCTACCTGTCGTCCAGACATATAATGACTTAGGAGTTATCGTTAGCCAAGACTTAAAGACTACTGCACACTGCCGTGCAATAGCCGCTAAAGGTTTTAGAACGTTATGGTCAATACGTGGGGCTTTTAGTCATGTCGACGCTAAGAAGTGTTTGACTTTGTATACAGTGTTCGTTCGTCCTAAACTTGAGTACTGCATACAAGCGGCTAGCCCCTACCACCATTGCCAGGACTAACACAGACCATCGGGCCTCCTGTCCTTCCCAAACTGAAACTGAGGCTGAGCTAGTTCAAATGACTTCACAGGAGAAAACGGCTTCTTCTTAAGGACTAAGAGCAGAACCTTAATATGACTTACGAACATATTTTTCTTTTTCCCCTTTATCGCTAATATACCTAGGTTACTACCCAGAGGCATTGGAGATCCACTGCTGATAGACACCGAAGCCCGTTATGTGAAAGCTTCCTCTATTCCGTCCATGACTTTTCACCTGAACTATTCAAATTAGCAGTTTGCCTGTGAAACCTTCACTTTATTTCTATGAAAAACTGTTAACGCGATGGGCAGAAGAATTACACTTAAAAAATACAAGCATATGAAAATCGTAGTAGTTACATTGGGTGTTGGATTGCTAATTGAAATGCGATACTTTGAGCGTTGCGCTTCTCAGTAGCAGGAAGTCTAGCAGGTTATTTGACCATGTCGCATTTGCATAATTATTTGTATGGTATCGTCAGCTTCCTAACTCTTAAGAATCCGTGTTCACTAGTGTTAATGGCGATAAAAACTTTAACACTGACGAATTTCTAAAGGGACAGAAAAATTATTAATTCTATGGGAGAGTATAGGGGTATGTTCAAATCGAAGATTTACAGAATACGTGGTACTGTGACCTGCACTCACACTACTTCTAGGTTCTGCTCATAGTTTCAGGCACTTCGTAAGCATTAATCACGATTTCCATTTCTAATGAGTTGTCCGACAATGTCTTCATAAAACTATTCTGTCAGTTTGTCAAACCACTTATTATTCCTTATATCCTGCTCCCATTCTACTCAGACTAAAATCAAGGCAAGAAGCAGGTGTAACTGGGTAAACGTCTTTGTCATTTTATTGTACTATCCTGGAAATAAAATCAATAGACAGTACAATTTAAGGTAATACTTAAGGTAAGATTGTGGAGACATGGTTAGTTCTTTCGGGGATTCGGATTACTAACATAACCTGGTGTTCACAGTATCATACTCTTCCTTGTACGAAAATTTACTAAAATTTCGGGTTATATGATTGGTAGCTAGTCTGCGATTTGCATATCAGCCTAAAGTCCTTACTGTTTCGTTTTCATGAGATCAGTCGCCCCTTCTCTTCTGTGGTAATAACTGAGTTAAGCTGAACAATAGCTTCCGGATTACGTACTCATGCTGCGTAAAACCGAAGCTAAAAACTGACGAACGGAACAGTTTCTGAATTTTATGGTAAATAAAATAATCATTTCCTGTTAAATACCTAGTAGTAAATATGCTTGCAAGAAACTGTCAGTCGTGTGCTTCAATCAAAATATGGGGTTCGAGTTGCCATTCTCTGTGCAGCAGGTGCCGAACCAGTGCATCACCCTAATGAAAATGCTTTTTAAGAGAATCAGTTACCTTAAAGCTAACAGAAAATTTTCATTGAAGTCTTTTGTAGGGCTGTCTATTGTGTTTTCCTCACCATGTGCCTGAAAGTGTAGAATTGTTCAGCTGGTCTCTTAGTGATTGGTTTTGCTACTAAATACATACCTAGTCAAGATGAGATGTCCAGGTAAAATTCTTTATTGCTGAAAATACTGACAGATGTACATTTATATGTAAGAGGGTTTACGATGTTTTGCACCTCCCATACCTAGTGTTGCTTTGCAACCAATTTGCAATGATAACTGGTTTGATATGAAAAAGCAAAGGCTTTGCACGTTGACCACATCACCAAACTAGGGAAATTTAAATAAACCCAGAGGATTTTTGGCTAATGAGCTGTTATTATATTATATTATTATTTATTTGAACACAAATATTGGTACAAAGGGGCACCGAATACATATGAGCCACACAATTCACTTGACGTATGTGTGGGCTGTGGTACTGCTCGGGTGCCCAGACCGAAGCAGGAACTGTTAGATCTGTTTCCTGATCCCTACTTTTCTCTTGATCAGAATATTCAGTGACTTATTGAGGGACAAACATGCTTAACAGTGGTTGACTGTCTAGGTTGATGAGAAATACAATCACAGTATGAAGGAAATGCGTCGGTTATTATCATTTTCAAAGTGATACCCAAATGTGATAAAACGATTAATCAATTAGCCTAAGTGTTAATCGTGGAGTAATAGGTAAATTTATATCAGTTTATCTGTTTGTGATAGTATGCTACTATCGACTTAGCTGACGATCGCATTACGTATTCTCAGTATCATGTTCCATTAGAACTGAAGATGAAGTGACTTCATTAGACTACAAGAAAATATAACGTGTCTATGCGAAAAGCTATTGTGAATCCAATTAATCGGAAATTATTGATGTAGCTCAGAGTCAGTCACTATTCCAAATACATCTCACATTTACCGCACCGTATTTACTGAATATCTTATTATTTCTTAAATTTGTTATCAAATATTGTCGACAATAAGTCACATTAATATGTTTTGGATCATCAGTCAGACCATATTCAACAAAATGTCAGTTATCATACCTGTTGGTCATCAGCGTACAGTCCACTAGATATCATTTTATGTAAACAGAGCCTATATATTGCTTTGTTTTGCTTAGTTACGAGAGTAGGTTAATTACTTAAAACCTTCAAGTAATATTTCATGCTTTATTGATTTAGATGCATTTCAATAGAATCACATGATCAAAATGTACTAAATTTTTAAGAATCTTAGTGGTTAAGACGTTCGTCATCTAACCGCCAGGTCAAAGGTTAAAGTCTCACTCCACTTAGTTCGATTTAGGCAACCTAATAGTATCACTAGCTCAAAGTCCCGAATACGCTAATCTGCACTTCGTAAATGATTTATACTCATCTCCATTATTATTTATTATTATTATTTGAACACATGAATATTGGTACAAGAAAGCGCCAATATATATGCGCCACACAAAACAATGGGAATTCGAAGAGAAATAGAAAGAAAAAAAACTAAGGAGCGCAAAAAAAAGAGAACAATAACAAAGAGGTTGGTGTAAGGTAGTGTGGTAGTAACGAGGGAACAGCAAGGTACAATCAGAAGAGATCTTTCAGGTAAGGGAGACACAACCACTTTTTATGAAGAAAGTAAAAGGAGGTTACAGCAGGACCGCCACTGGCTTCTATTCTGAGCCATATCGGATAACGTCTCTAGCCACTGTGTAGCCCCATCTCTCAGACCCCAACCAGGGAGTCGTGAAGGACCGACAAAAGCCAGTCCTTTGCAGCTTTCTCTCATACCACGACACCATGTCATGCACTGACCACCTCTCCGCTTCTTCCAACCAGTCCCAGAGTCGGCAAATAATGCACGACGTGGAATTCTCTGGGACGACATTCGTAGAACATGTCCAAGCCACCGAAGTCGGTGTTTCAAGATGGTGACACCAATTGAATTATCATCTCTGTGCCCGAACACACGATGCCGAACCTCTGCATTACTGACATGGTGTTGCCACTGAATGTCAGCAATCCTTCGGAGACAGCGATGATCGAACACAGAGAGTCGTCTAACGTCCTCAACTCGGAGAGGCCAGGTTTCACAAGCATAGAGCAAAACTGCTCTCACCGACGCGTTGTAGATCCGACCTTTTACAGCCAGACTAACATCACGAAGGCAGACTAACATCACTCATCTCCATACCATTACTTCTACTCTTCTTTGTTAAATGAATCTTTCTAATTTCTCTATTAATGTTGTGGCAACTTGGGATAATCCAATTGTTTACCTAGGTCTCAAATTGATTATGACTGACCATTCAATTCATTTAACGATTAGCTTTTTTATTACAGAAAGAAAATGGGTGGTAGTATGACAAAAATATTACCTGGTTTGTATGTTGGAGGTTTCGATAATGCCAAAAGTGAAGAAGAATTAATGGCAAATTGCATATCTCATATTATTATTGTTCAAAACTCGAAAAACGATATTGAAAGAGTAAGTATTTTTGAGATGGTTTTAATTGTTGGTTGGTGGTTGATACAGCATAGGGGAGTTTTTGGTCTGTTATCTTTAAATGTGGATATTAAGACCTCTTCCATCCACTCAGAATTTGTGCTGATTGTCTCCCATTTGCTAGATGTATCTAAAAAGTGGTGGATGTATACACACATTGAATCGGAAACCGCATCAGTGTCTTCCGTTTTGAACCGGTTTACGTTCATTTAAGATTTAACGATACCTTATTTATTTGAACGACTGAATTTCGTATATATTATGACATGAAGGATGTTTCTTAGAATGTGATAAATTGAACTTCAGATGAATAAACTGATAAAGTATGATGATCCGCAGAGCTGTTTGATAAGGTTGTCATTATCTTCAAATTCGTTAATGTATGCCCTTTGTAAAGTAGGTTTAATGGAATACATGTCAGACGCTTTATTTCCTATTCCTTGTGCTTTAAAATTATCTTTTATTCTTTGGATTCATTCTCTATTCTCGGGTTATTATCTGTACATAATCTACTGTGCTAGCACTGATCATATAACTCTGGAAATGGTCTTGATAATTTCGTCTGGCTGTACTGATTGTGGTGTGGTGAATTGAACCGATTCATATATGTGTCAGGTTCTGTGTTGCTTATTTCTGACTGACTGGCTTAATGAATTTTAGTGTTATACTCTGAATGATACAATCCTCAGCTCAGTATTATTATCACTAAATTGCAAGAAAATCCAGAGATGATCATTTCAACCTATTTAGCATATATATATATATATATATATATATATATATATATATATATATATATATATATATATATATATATATATATATAATTATGAATCGGTCAGTTTATGTATTACAAGGAATTTCTTTCCTGAGTGTAGAATGTGACGATTGTCTTTAGTTTTGTAAACAAAACTAATTGCATCTCGGATACTCAATAAGTCACGTTATGTTTTCTAATGGAAATACAGGTTATTTTCATTAATGTTTAAAATGTAATCTCTAGTTTAAATAACTTGAGGTATTAATTCGCTCTGGTTTTTGTGCGTATTGGATGTCCAATTTCTTGAATGTGATTTTACATTTGTTAGTACTCATTAATTAGGTACCTATGCTAACTCAAATAAATCCTTCCTTCTTCCAATATCTGAACTAACGTCCAATATTAAATAAAGGTGTTGTAATTAAATTGTTTTGCTTGTGGTCGGTCCTACAAAATCTGTGCAGTCTTTCTATACACGAGTCCGATCAGCTTCTTAAGCAAAATGATGTAGTGAGAAAGGAAGTTTATTTGATCAACTGAACAGTCTTATTAGTATACTCATTCATGTATTTGTTCGCCCTTAGCAAGTGTAAACTATTTCTTAGCCAATCTTGTTCACTTGTCAGTTGACCGATTTTGAACTTGCCTGATGTATCAGCATTACTACCACGCTTTCTTTGATTTTCCCTCTGTTAATTTCCTTTTGGTTATCCTAATTTGAAATATAATAACTTGAACTGATGCTAATTTGTACCAGCTTCTAGATTGTTCATAACCGGTTAATTTATATACTCCTTTCCATCAATGGACTTTTATATAAGTTATGAGTGAGCACACATGAAATTTCCAATTGTTATTTATGATCATTCCAAGAAAGAATTTTTCGCTTTTGAAGTAAATGATCAATTTTGATGGAGTTTTGTTCTCTGAGCTGGATGGTTTGGTCGTGGAGCTTTCATCGTTCTTCTAAACGACATCATCAGCAAAAAAAATTCAGGTAGAAATGAAGTGTTCGTATTTAACGTCAGCAAGAACCAATCAACATCGAGGTGTACACGATAAGCTGTGAACTACATGTGTAGAAATCCGAACACTTCTACCTGAAGTTTTTGCTGATGATGTCTTTCAGAAGAACAATGAAAACTTCACTACCAAACCATTCAGCTCAGAGAACAAAACTCCAACAAAATCATCCACCTGAGCTACAAATCTCCACCATCTCAAAACGATCAATTTTTGGATACTTTTATATTTTGCGACCATACTATTATCAGTATTATTGTTTATAACAATAGTGTGAAATAGTCTCTTAATCGTATACTCTGATATTTTTCTCAAAAATTTATTTTTTGTACAAATGAATTTCTGTAAGTCTTATGATAAATGCACACAATCAGTCAGTCAGTCAGTTACAACGTAGGACCAGGAACATATGTGTACACAATACTTGTCCATTTATAAAATGATTAATTTCTGTAGTAGTAGTAGTAGTAGTAGTAGTAGTAGTAGTAGTAGTAGTAGTAGTAGTAGTAGTAGTAGTTTGGAATAAAACTTTGACCTTCAATAAATAGTATTTTATTCATGAGTTGATCAATCAATAATCCAGACATCGATGAATTATATGTGCTTAGAGGTATTCGATAAACAACCCTAGATATGTGTTAAATAGTAGAAATATTTGCAAAATGCTCTATGCGTTTTAAAGTATAGTTGTCATTTGAATATATACATTAAGTAGTAGGGCAATTAGTTTAATGAATTAATTCTTTTTTTCAATGAGTTTACTTTTAAAGCTTTATATTTACATATAATTGTCCCGACCGAAGCTGCTACCTTGACGCGGTGGTCGAGCTTGCCTATCGTGATGACCCAACCAAGCTATATTGGCTGGAAAATATGTTCCTGTAGGTTCTAACATGCCAGGCAGGTCGATTGGAGAACGGTAAGATTAAAAGCACCAACTCAAGGTCTGAGGGCGAAGTCGTACTGCTGACTGTAGAGGGGTGTGGTAGCAGTAAGGTGTTTCCCTCGGACAACCAGCATCTGTAGTGATGCTGCCTTCCAACAAGGAGGGGTGGGGTTAAAAAAGGTCGACCCTAAAAATGTCACATCTCACGGATTTCCGTCTCCGGCGGTAAGGCCCTTTGAAGAACGAAGTTAACACAATAAAAACATTCCACGACGAGGCCGTGCGCGAACGGCCTCAAGCAGTTGTCCCTTGGGCTCTGAGGTCACGCTCCCAGGTCGTTAAGACCAACACTAATCCAATTTCATTTTCAGGTTCCTCAAGAAATACCCTTCCACGGTGTGGGCTGCCGGGAAGAGATATCAATCCTCATACCCGTAACAGCACACGAGAACAAGTTGGTCACATTCAAATCCATCCTACACCTCCTAATACCTCTCTTATCTCTATGACTAACCCTCCTCACGTCTCTTTATCACCTCGCACCGCTAGGGCAAACGATCGGAGTAAGCGGAAAGCTATTCCTGGTCTCCTGAAACCACGCCCGAAACTACACGTAGGAGATTTTAATGTCCGAACACTATGCCGAACGGGACAACTGGTTTCCTTAGCTAAGACCTTAGAATCCCGCACCATCCATGCGTGCTGCGTCTCCGAGACGCGCATACAGGATCCGAGTAGCTTCATTTATTTGAACTCACCATGCCAAAATAAAGAACCGACTCGATTCACAATTCGTGTATCTGGAAGCCCTGATGGTGCTTCCCGTGGCCTCGCCGGCGTAGGTATAGCATTGAGTCCTAGGGCAGAACTAGCTCTCTTAGAGTGGATCCCAGTAGACAGTCGTTTGTGCGCTGTCCGACTGAACGGAACAGTAAGGATCCGAAAAAATAGAGACACTCGTCGTTGCCTCTTCGTCGTCTCTGCCTATTCTCCCACTCAATGCAGCGCAGATGATGTAAAAGATGAGTTTTACAGAAAGCTCTCCAACCTTCTCCGAAAAGCTAGGCGCTCGGGTGTAGTAATAATGGCTGGTGACTTTAATGCTCAAGTAGGTAAACTAAGCGATGGGGAAAGACACCTGGGTGGATCTTATGGTGTCGTTGCTCAAAGAACAGATAATGGCGACCGTCTGTTGCAGCTATGCTCAGATAACCGCCTGTTCCTTGCAAATACTAACTTTAAGCATAAGGAAAAACATCTTTTAACATGGCGACCCCCTAATTCGTCCCAACGTTGGACCCAAATAGATCACATCGCTATCAGCCACCGATGGAGGGGCTCGATAGAAGACTGTCGCTCATTCTGGAGCACATGCTTAGATTCAGATCATGCTCTAGTGCGAGCGCGTATTTGCTTGCGTCTTACTGGACGTAGGAAAGACGCTGCAAGGAAACCTCTTAGGGCCTACTTAATGATAGTCAAGCTAAGAGTATATTTCAGGAACAACTAGGAAAACAGTTAGGCAGCCATGTATGTGATGCCCACCCCGATGCAGCATGGAATGATATCCGAAAAGCTGTGGAAACAGCAGTGATATCTGCTAGTAAGGTAAACCAGAAGGTTAGGGAGCAACACTGGATCTCAGCAGCATCTATCGCACTGATAGATGCTCGGAAACTCATTCCACCTGGCTCTGAACATAATGAAGAGCGGAGTCAGCTTAAGCGCAAGCTGACAAGAAGTCTACGCAATGATCGCGAACAGTGGTGGGTAGCGAAAGCAAGAGAGATGGAAAAGGCAGCGGCAATAGGTAATAGCAGACAATTGTTCAGACTCGTTAAGGAAACCGGAATTAGGAACCCGACCGTTAGCGAAACAATCTCAGAAAAAGATGGACATATTATTCATTCTCAATCCAGGAGATTGGATCGATGGGCAGAACACTTTAGGGATCAGTTCAACTGGCCTTCAGCCACACTTCGGTTTCCCACGATCTCCAGTCAACCTGAATGGCAAGTTAATGTAGGTCCTCCGTCCCTTTACGAAGTTGAAAAAGCCATAGGAAATCTGAAACGAGGGAGAGCAGCAGGCCCTGACAGGTTTACTCCTGAGATTTTTAAGGATGGTGGTCCAGTATTAGCAATGAGATTAACTGAGGTCTTAGGTAGAATTTGGGAACTGGACGTAATCCCATCTGACTGGTCTCAATCACTGATTGTGCCAGTCTATAAGAAAGGACAAAAGTCCTCTTGTGACAATCACAGAGGAATCAGTTTGACTAATATAGTGTCTAAAATATTAGCTTCAATAATA